GGTGGTGCTGCGGGCGTTGGAGCCGGAGGTGCTGGAGCTGCTGGTCCTGGAGTTGCTCGTAGTGGAGGTACTGGAGCGGCTGGAGCTGGAGGTGCTACTGGAGCTGGAGCTGCTGGAGGTGCTGGAGCTGGTGGTACTGCATTCGTTGGAGCTGGAGACCCTGGAGCTGGGGATACTGGTGCTGTCGGTGCTGGTTCCGGAGGCACTGTGCGGCCGCGACCGTACTTCGTTCCACTGCTTCAGCAGGTTCTTGGTCTCCCGCCTTCTACTGGCCCTACTCCTCCCTTACTGTGTCCACCGCCTGACCAGTTTCAGTTGCAGTTACAGCCAGCCTCCCCACTGCCTGCTCCTTCTCCTTACACTGGGCCGATAGGAGGTCTTTCGGAGCGTTGTGAGCCTGAGTCTTGTCCTGCGTCGCCTGTTCGCGCTGTTCGAACTGGTCGTCGTGTTCCGCGTCCGCGTCCTCCTCCTGTTACAGGCACGCACCAGATGGCACTTCGTCCTTCCTCTGTTCCACAGCGTGTCCCTCTGCCATCTCCTCCTGCGTCCTCTCTTCCTGACGTTCCTGACCCGCCGTCAGACCTTGCTCGTGCTGCCAGTCCTACTGTCACGCGTCTTCTCGCCACTGTTGTCACTGACCCTTCGTTTGAGTCCACTGCTGCGTCTTCTCTAGTTGCTGAGCTTGTTGACTTTGCTGCCGCCTGTCGCCTCGACTACGCCGCTAGTCTTGTTGCTGGGTCTGAGTCTGTCTGTCCTCCGTCCGTCGGGGGTGAGTGTGCTCTTGGCACGGACGTCCATGAGGACAGGAAGGAGGGCTTTGAGTGTTTTGCAGCTGCTTTACCTCATCTCGTGTCCATGCTGATTGCACCTGAGGAAGACCCGGATGCACCAGACATCCCGACCCCGCGCTCTTACGCAGAGGCGATTGAGGGTCCCTACTCCTCTTAGTGGCAGACAGCCATGGACGCAGAGATGGCTTCCTGGAAGTCCACAGGCACCTACGTCGACGAGGTTCCCCCACATGGGGCGAACATCGTCAGTGGCATGTGGATTTTCAGGGTGAAGCGACCGCCGGGTTCTCCGCCTGTCTTCAAGGCGCGTTACGTTGCTCGAGGCTTTAGTCACCAACCGGGAGTTGACTTCTTCCAGACCTTCTCCCCTACCCCGAAGATGACCACTCTTCGGGTGCTGCTGCACGTCACCGCTCAGCGTGACTATGAGCTTCACTCTCTTGACTTCAGCACAGCCTTCCTTCAGGGCAGCCTACACGAGGAGATCTGGTTGCGCCGCCCACCTGGCTTCACTGGGTCGTTTCCTGCAGGTACCCAGTGGAGCCTCTGGCGGCCAGTTTACGGTCTCCGCCAGGCGCCTCGCGAGTGGCACGACACACTGAGGACGACGCTTGCGGCTCTTGGGTTTGCTCCTTCGACTGCTCACCCGTCGTTGTTTCTACGCACCGACTCTTCTCTGCCGCCGTTCTACATCCTCGTGTACGTCGACGACTTGGTCTTTGCCACTGCTGACACTGCTGGATTGGCCTTTGTGAAGTTGGAGCTGCAGAAGAGACACACGTGCACAGACCTGGGTGAGCTGCGCAGCTATCTTGGCTTGCAGATCACCCGGGACAGAGCACAGCACACCATTACCTTGACTCAGTCACACATAGTGCAGCAGGTCCTTCAGCGCTTCGACTTCCAGTACTCCTCGCCACATTCCACTCCTCTGCCTACCGGTCACTCGCTCTCAGCTCTGCCTTCGTATGAGTCCGTAGAGCCGAGTGGCCCGTATCCACAGCTTGTGGGCTGCCTCATGTACCTGATGACCTGCACTCGACCTGACCTTGCTTACCCTCTTAGCATCCTGGCACGCTACGTTGCGCCCGGGAGACACCGACCAGAGCACTGGAAGGCCGCTAAGAGGGTGATGCGCTACTTTTGCAGTACGTCGGGCATGGGGCTCGTGCTTGGAGGACGGGCTCGAGTTGTCCTCACTGGCCACGCAGATGCTTTCTGGGTTGACACAGGGTTATAGGGTTACACTTTCAGCCTTGGCTCTGGCTCTGTTTCATGGTGGTCTACTCGCTCGTCTTCTGTTCTCAGTTCCAGTTGTGAGGCTGAGATCTACGCAGGGCCATGGCTGCACAGGAGTTACGCTGGCTCACCTACCTACTGACAGACTTGGGAGAGCCGCCTCGTTCTCCTCCAGTTCTGTACGTCGAGAACAAGGTCATGATTGCCTTGTGTCAGGAGCACAGACTGGAGCACAGGACGAAGCACATCGCTCTGCGCTACTTCCTTCCTCGAGAGTTGCAGCAGTGTGGTCAGCTTCATCTTGTTTACGTGGCCTCTCGGGCCAACACTGCTGATATCTTCACCAAGGCACTTCAGCCTTGTGATCATCAGCGTTTCTGTACTGTTCTAGGCCTTGGGCCTACTTGGCCTCACTTGCTCACTTCTTGACCTTGTTTGTACTGTGATCTATATACTTATTCCTGCATGCTTACACTTGCTAGGTTTTGATCACTGTACTTCTTGTTCTACATTATATAACTCTGCATGTGAACTGGCCTTGTGGCCATTTGCTTGTGCTCAGAATGTGTGGTGATTTCGTGATCCACCCTGAGCTTGCTTTGTTTTGTCGTTTCTCTTGACTGGTCTTGTGACTATTGCTTTCTCTGGCTATCCCCCATTTCGCCTGTGGGGGTGTGTCAAAACATATGTGCTTATGTGCTTTTGGCTATATGGGTGTTAGCACTAGGGGGTACACAATTTCTCTCGATGTTGTTCTTGTACCCCTCCCCTTGACCTAATGACCAACTATTCTTCTCACCTAATCTCGACAGTGTGCTTACGAGAGAGCACACGAGCAGCGGTGCTTGGTCGCTGAGGGACGTCTACCCCCTCCAAAATTTGAGATAATGGAGAAGCGAAGGTGTGGGCGCGGTCCGAGAAAGGATCGTAGGCTCTGAATACCAAGTGTTACGAGTGCGATTTGTTGGAGGTCGGTCGGGGGCCAAGCGGTCCCCACTATACACCCCTCCAACCTTACCAAGTTGGGTTGGGTGGCGAGAGTTTGGGCGGAGGGTGACGGTGCACTCAAGTCAAGAGTTGCACTTGAGTGGTAAGAAGAGACAAAACCATCGAGGTTTACTTACAAGTTGGGTGGAAAGAACAAAACAAAGCACAGACACATGGCGCGATATGATAGGTCCGTCCAAGTGTAATTTCAAGTTGAATGCATGGACGGAAATGTAAATCAGAAAAGGACGTAACTCCTTTTCCAAAATTCCACCGTCAAGTGTAATTGGGGTGGGTTACGGATCACGCGCGGTTCGGTTACAAATGCGATTCGACTATAGGGAATTTCTTGAAATTTATGTAATAGAGTATAAAAAACTCTCTCGTCATTGTGAATTGTATCCTCTCTGGAATTGTGTACCCAGCCCCATATAATCGACGATTTCGTTCTCATTACTTGGCCGTTCTTGGCGTTGTTTGTTGCTACGGATTCATCAAGTACTGAGTTCACGACGGCGTTTTAAAGCAGACGGTTTTCCTACATGGTATCAGCACTTAGGAATTCTCAAACGCTTGACGCCTAGCTCTACCCGATGCCATGTCTTTGACTTCCTCATCGACCTCTGATGCCCCCCTTCATCCTACCTACTCCGCATCGGCGACGATCGTCGACATGAGTGCGGTGCCATTGTTCAATGGCGAGCACTATGCATCGTGGCGCTTCAAGTTGAAGGTTCACATGATGGAGAGTGAGTTTTGGGGCTTTTCGACGGATCCGAAACGAAGCCTTCAAGCGCCTCGACAACGGAGCATGGAGCATGGGTAAATAAGGACAAGAAGACATTCTTGTTTCTCGTGTGGAAGCTCGGACTTCAACTCGTGCCAGTGGTGAGCTCGTGCATCGACCTTGAAGGAGCTACACGTGAAGCTTGGAGGCGCCTCGATAGCATCCACGTGTCGAAGTCTCTCCACGGCAAGTTGCAAGCGAGGAGGAACTTCTTCACCGTGCGCATCAAGGAGGGCGAACGCATGCGCGCGTACGTCAACCGCGTTGAGGAGCTTGTCAAACGAATGGTGGAGCTTGAAGCGGACGTGGACGAGAAGGATTAGATCATGACGCTTCTCGGAGGGCTCTGAGAGGAATGGTCAACCGTCGTCACCACCCTTGAAGGCACGCACGCGACATGGACCAAGGAGGAGGTGACGACGCCCCTCATCAACGAGGAGATGCGGTGGAATACCTTGAAAAGCGATTCAACGAGTTCGGCTCACTTCACGCGTAGCGCGAAGAAGGGCGTTGTCGACACCAAGCTACGGAATGACCGTGGGCATGCAAGTGGAAGCGCAAGCTCTTCACGTGGAGGACACGCCAACAACAACAACAACAACAACCGTGGTCATGCTCGTGATGGAGCATGCCGGTATTGCAAGAAGCTCGGGCATTGGTGGCGCGAGTGTCGGAGCAAGCCAAGGGGTTGGACTCCAACGCCTCTAACCCAAGAGGAGCGGCGCGCGAACGTGGTGACATCGGGAGATGACACCAAGGAGCTCGTGTTCATTGCGGGAGAAGGAGCTATAGGCGGACTCGCATGGCTTCTCGACACGGGAGCTACGCAACACATGACGCCGCACGCGGACCTCCTTGAAGACGTCTCGGCGGATGCTCCTATCTCGCGCGTGGTCTTCGGGAATCAAGACTCGCTTGAGGTGAATGGACGCGGAACGTTGCGCCTCGCGGTGGACGGCGGTCCAATGACGATCAACAACTTGTTGGTTGTACCGGGACTCGGCGCCAACTTGCTCTCCGTGTCACAACTCACCACGAAGGGAATGCGTGTCAACATCGAAGGTGCGGTCATGACCTTGAGCACTTCTTCCGGGCGCTTCATCGGCAAAGCGCATCAAGACGGCGGTCTCTTCAAGCTCGTGGCTACACCGAATCTTGCGTCGACGCACGCGGCGGTGGCGAAGCCTTCATTGGAGATGTGGCACAACCGCTTCGGGCAATTGAGCGCGTCAACTATCCGCACCATGGCAACTCAAGGCGTGGTGCACGGGATCGTCGCCGACTTCTCAACGAACGAGGAGGTGGAGAAGTGCTCGGCGTGTCTTGAAGGGAAGATGGAAAGGAAGCCGTTTCCAACTCGCACGAAGCCTCTCGCCTCCAACCTGCTCGATCTCCTCCACACCGACTTGTGTGGACCAATCACCCCTACCTCCAAAGGGGGCGCACGCTACATTCTCACCCTCCTCAACGACACTACACGAACGGTGTGGGTTAACCTTTTCAAGGACAAGAGCGCGACTTCTACGACAATAAAGAAGTGGGTGGCGCTTGTTGAGACTGAGAAAAATGGACAACTCGTGAAGCGGATTGGGTCGGATGGAGGAGGAGAGTACGTGAATAACGAGCTCAACAGGTGGTTCAAGGCATGAGGAACCTTCCACGAAGTATCGGTTCCTCACTCACCTCAACAAAATGGAGCAGCGGAGCGCTTGAACCGCACTTTGGATGAGGCGGTTAGGAGCATGCTTGCCAATGCTCATGCGGACAAGTCTTGGTGGGGTGAAGCGACGATGTTGGCAACTTGGATTCACAACCGAAGCTTGACCAAGACCTTGCCGAACGTGACACCCCTTGAGGCATGGAGTGGCAACAAACCGGACGTCTCCAACCTTCGCACCTTCAGGTGCATTTGCTACTACCACGTCCCCGACGCTACACGCACCAAGCTTGAGGCAAAGGCGCGTGTGGGGATGTATTTGAGCCATAGCCTTGATCACAAGGGATGGCGGGTGTGGGATTTGGAGAGCGGAAAGGTGGTGGTGTCGCGTGACGTCTCATTCTTCGAGGGCCGCTTCCCAACTCCACCAAACAAGAAGCACTCGATCGTGGTCATCCCTCCAACGGTCGATGACACGGACGAGTCATCAACTCATGGTGTTCCCGAGGACAGTGGTGCTAAAGATGAGGAGGGAGATGTTGTTGAAGTGGTTGGAGTGGAGAGTGAGAAGGATGGTGGTCCTTCTACAGTCGTCGCTCCAACGCTTGCATCTACTCGAGCTCCTCACCCGAACCCGAAGTACGCCGACTACTCATTTTTGGTGGAGGATGATGAGGAAGGGGGAGATGCCATGTGCTTCATGGCCGACTTCACACCTACCACCTACCGTGAGGCGATGGAGACGCTCCAAGCCGATAATTGAACTCAAGCACTCAATGAGGAGTATGATTCCATCATTGAAAATTATGTGTATGATCTTGTCCTTTTGCCCCCCAATAGCTACACCGTTGGGTCCCGATGGGTCTTCAAGAAGAAGCTCGGGCCGAATGGTGAGGTGGAGCGATACAAGGCTCGCTTGGTGGCGCAAGGGTATACGCAAAAGGCCGGGCTTCACTACAACGAAACCTTTGCTCCGGTAGCAAAGTATTATACCCTTCGTGTCCTCTTAGCTCTAGCGGGAGGGCATTGTTAACGGGAATGGAGTGTTGGCCCCGCCCTCGCTTGGGCGACGCCGACGTCCTGGTCGGATGTACGGGAGAAGCAGCCGACCGTACGCAGTGAGGGAGCTTCTCGACGGGCTATGTGGAGCTGCAGGAGCTCGTTGCAGTGGATCCGTCAACCATGGGAGTTCGACGGCCTTCTTCTGCGGGGCAGGACGACGAAGTGGTCGTCGACCTGCACAGGTCTGTCACGGGGCTGGAGCCATCGACCAGGAAGCTCGACAGCTGTAGCTGACTGGGCTGGTCGACGGGCGGGCCGTCCACCAGGAGGAGTAGTTCGACGGGGAGGTCGACGGAGCAGTCCGTCGACCTGCATAGGACATGTGAGTGGCAGTCGACGAGGGGAGCTCGGCGACAGGAGCTGCCAGTGCTGGTCGACAGAGGGGTCTGTCGACCAGGGTGTTCCTCGACGGGAGTTGTGGTCGACCAGAGAACATGGTGGTCGACCAGAGCACTTGGTGGTCGACCAGGTAACCTGCTCGGCGAGTTCTGCGGAGGCACGCAAACGTCGTCGAGGTCGCGGTGACGAGGGCGACTTCGGGCTGGTATCCCGAAGATGATGTGGCTCGTCAAGCGCAGACAACAGCCGACGGATGCACAACGATGCAAGTCAGGCCAGTCGTCTGCGCGCACCTGCGAGCGTGCGCACTGCTGCCATCTACGGGTGCAACGCTGGACAGCCGCTCTGCTGCAGCGTTGGCACGCCGTCGACCAGCTGTGTTGGCAAGTCACCTTTGTGCAGTGCTGGCGCGGCTCCTCTACGCAACGTTGGCAGGCGGTCGACCATGCTGTGCTGGCGGTCGACCAGGCTAGCTGCAAAGTTGCTAGGCGCCTGATGTAGTCATTGTTGTCATTGCTTGTTTAATCATTCTGTAATGCAACCTTTTCCTAGTGGAAACTCTTGCCAATTTCTCCCGTGAATGTGCAAGTGCTAAGGAACTACGCAAAGCTACGATCACTCCTAGAAGTTTGTGCCAATGCCCCGTAGTCTAGCTCACAACTTTTGTAGAGTGACTCTGCGCCGGATTGACCTAGAGGTAGAGCAACTTGATGTAAAAACCGCCTTTTTATATGGACACCTTGAGGAGGAGGTGTGTATGAGGCAACCTCCATGGTTTGAGGATGGGACGAACCGTGTGTGCAAGTTGAAGCGCACCATCTACGGCTTGAAGCAAAGCCCTTGAGCCCTAGCTCGTCCTACTTCTCTACGTGGACGACCTCCTCCTCGTTCCTGATTGCAAGGATCTTGTGGCGGAAATCAAGGCGAAGCTTGCATCAGAGTTCTCCATGCGCGACCTTGGTGCCGTGTTATACTACCTCGGCATGCACATCGACCGCGATCGTGCGCATAAGACTCTTCATCTTCACCAGCACAAGTACTTGGAGGACGTGGTGGCTCGCTTTGGGATGAGCGAGAGCAAGGCGGCACCCACACCCATGGTTCCACCCTTTGGCTACAAACAAGGAAACCCCTATGGATCTCGAGAAGACCAAGCGCTTTCATTCCATAGTAGGTTCATGCATGTATGCCGCTGTGAGCACCCGTCCCGATCTCTCGTTCACAGTTTGGCTACATCGGCGAGTAATCTCCAACCCCATGGTGGAGCATGAGCGTGCCTTGCGTCGTCTTCTTCGCTATGTTAGGAGCACTAGTCACCTAGGGCTCCACTATGAGCGGGATGATAGCACTCATAGGGTTCACGGATTCCGATTGGGCGGGAGATCCTTCCACTCGGCAAAACACCTCGGGCCTTGTATTCACGCTCCTTGGGGGAGCGGTGGCTTGGCAAAGCAAGAGGCAAAACTTGATTGCCCTTAGCTCAACCGAGGCCGAGTATGTTGCTCTCAACCATGATGGTACCGAAGCCGTGTGGTTGAGGCGTCTCCTAGCCGAGCTAGGATACGAACAAGAGGGACCCACGCCGATCTACGTGCACAACCAAGCGGCGATCAACCTCGCCAAGAACTCGGTCGTTCACGGAAGGACCAAGCACATCCAAATTCGTCACCACTTCATCCGCAGGCTCGTCGAAGACAAGGAGGTGGAGCTACGCTACTTGAAGACCAACGCTCAATCCGCGGACTTCCTCACCAAGCCTTTGCATAGGGATACCTTTCATGCATGTTGTGCTAGTGTATGCTTGTATGCATAGGTGCTCGTGGGGACCAATGGGGAGTGTTGGAGGTCGGTGGGGGGCCAAGCGGTCCCCACTACACATCCCTCCAACCTTACCAAGTTGGGTTGGGCTGCGAGAGTTTGGGCGGAGGGTGACACTGCACTCAAGTCAAGAGTTGCAGCTGGGTGGTAAGAAGAGACAAAACGATCGAGGGTTACTTACAAGTTGGGCGAAAATAACAAAACAAAGCACAAACACATGGCGCGATATGATAGGTCCGTCCAATTGTAATTGCAAGTTGAATGCATGGACGGAAATGTAAATCGGAAAAGGACGTAACTCCTTTTCCGAAATTCCACCGTCAAATGTAATTGGGGTGGGTTACGGATCGCGCGCGGTTCGATTACAAATGCGATTCGACTATAGAGAGTTTCTTGAATTCTATGTTAGAGAGTATAAAAATCTCTCTCGTCATTGTGAATTGTATCCTCTCTGAGTTCACGACGGCGTTTTAAAGCAGACGGCTTTCCTACACAATTGAGTGAGCGAACGAAGATTGCACTATCCGTTACGATATGAAACTTTATGAGAAGGCATTCCTGTATGCTACAGGGACCGACTCTAAAGTGTATGAAGCCGAGGAGTCAGAAGAGTCGAAGCGACACTGGTAACCGTCTGATCAAGACCGATGCAGGCAGAAACATTTGAAGTGAAAAGAGCGGGAACAGGTTTGAAACGGGTTCCCGCGCCGCACGGTTTGAATTCGGTGTAATAAGGGAATGTACCCCTTAGAGTACGTGGCTAGTCTAGGTCTTTTCGTATTCCCCTGTATTCTTATATAAACCCAATGTATGCATGCTATTATCAACTCAGTCATTTACATTCACTCTGACGTGAAATTCAAATCTTCCGCTGCAACACTACCCTTCGATCAATCCTGAGCGATCCTTCGCTAAGTCCCACTTGGGATTGTAACATGGTATGAGAGCTACTCAAGGATTCTTCGCAACTTCACTTCCGTGAAATTCACCGAACCAAGACCTGGCGAGCGGCACACGCTCCAAGACCAAGATGGCCGGAGGATCCGGAGGCCAAACAAATCTGACGGCCGAAGGACAAACCAACCCGGCTGCGACAAATGAGGCGACAACCACGATAAGCACTGCCGCACTCGAGCAGTTATTTTCGCGACTATCAACTATGGAGAAAGACCTCCAAGAACTGCGCAAAGGCGATGTGGGAACCTCTTCCCAACCAGTTCAACCTGGACAACCGGCCGTGAAAGGCCGTGATACCGCCGTGCACACCTTCTCCCTCGACACAGACAAATCAACAACAACGGCCCCCCGTCCAAGTGATGAAGTTATCAACTCTGCGCAAGCACGCTTTCTCAGCGTCTCAAAAAATAAGACTACTGCCGCATTTGACGGCAATGACTTCTATACATGGAGTTTCGAGCTTGAGCTCCTCCTACAAACAGCGCAGATCTACCATTGCTCTGATGACTCCTACGCATAACCGGTGGAAGACACCGACGACGTCAGGGCTCAGTACTACAGCAAGTCCCTCATGGCATACAGTGTGCTGCTTCGGAACATGACGCCTGCGGAGCAACTTAGCATTCGCTCCTACAAAGAGAGCGTCGCTCCCGCCTTGGAAGCCTGGAAGCACCTCGTTGAGGTATATCAGCCGAAGGATTCGGTCACCGCCAGCAGGCTCCTGCAGTAACTCATGGAGACAAAGATGGGGTACGGGGAGAAAGCAAATTTTTATATTAACCGCTGTCGGAACATCCGTGACCAGATCACGAAGCATGGGAGCGCAATCTCAGAAGAGATTTTCGTCAATATAGTCCTTCAAGGACTCGGGCCAGAGTGGAAGCCCTGCAAAGCGCTACTCCGACAACGCGGAATCATCTCTAAAGCTGCGCTATGCGCCGCTCTCCTGACTGAACAGCAGGACATGGACTCGAGCAGAACAAGCTCTGCGCCGCGCCGAGAGCGCCTCGCCTTCTACACAAACAACCGTGAAGAGCGACGACAACCAAGGCACCATTATTGCAAAATATGCAAAGTCTTCGGACACTCAACGGATCGATGCAAATCCCGATCCAACTATCGCCACCCAAATTCCACTCACCACAACAACTGGGTCGGCCGACAAGACGCTCGTCATTCTCAACCCCAGCATCAAAACTTTCGTCCCCCTGCACAGCACCAACAATAGCAAGGTCAAGGACCTCAAGCGGGAGCTCCTAGAAACGTGATTGCGAATATGGCGGCAAGGCGTCGCCCTCGCGCTGCTGAACCAGACGAAGAGGACGAACTTCGCGGCGAGCTCATTCAACCTGAAGAAGGGTGGAACAACCCTCTCACAGAAGATCACGACTACCGCTAGGACGAAGACGAGCAAGATTGGCATCAGCCAATAACACTGCGGGAAAGCCCGCCTCATGACAACCAGCACTACGTACCTGTGAGATGGAAAGAAGATGAAGACCCATCCTTTCACAGACGCTACAAGGCGACACTTGTGACTCCGCGACTCGCCCTACTTCTGCGCAACAACAACGCTGACAACTACAA